TCGCGGGCAGGGGTCTGGTCGGGACAAGGTCCCTGCCCGGGGACCGGGGCATCCCGGGTGCAGCCAAGAGGCGCGGAGCCCGCGGGGGCGCACGTTGCGCTGCAGCGCCCGCCCACTGCGCGGCGTGGGCTCGCGGGCGGTGGGCTCGGGGACGCCTCGAAGGCAGGGCGTCCGACTTCTCTGCGGGAACCCAAGCCCGTGGGGCGGACGGAGCGAGCGCGCCCCAGCCGCCCCGGACCTTGCGCTCATCCCCCCGCGTACCCCACTTCTGCACAAACTTTTCTGACGCCCTTGCCCGTGGGGGTCGCGGAGAGAGCTAGGGCTGCCCGCTGGGCGCCCGCCCCGCCGGACCCCAGCCACGCTAACCTCCAGCCTCTCGCAGCCTCAGTGGCGACCTCTCCAGGCCGGGCCGGGCACCGCACTCGCGGCGAGCGCGGCGAGCACCGTTGCCCTCCGTAGGCTTCCGCGCCCCCCGGGGCAGCTAGGCGGGGTAATGCCCTCGGTGATGGAGAAGCCGAGCGCAGGCTCCGGGATCCTGTCCCGTAGCCGGGCTAAGACGGCGCCCAACGGCGGACAGCCCCACTCCGAGGATGACAGCAGCGAGGAGGAGCACTCCCACGGTGAGCCCGGCGGCCTAGGGTTAAAGGCGCGTCGGTCTTGGTGGTGCGGAGGGGGGTGGGGAGCGGTCGCGTGTAGTTTACGACCGCGGGCTGATTATACTAATGGCTCCTGCTCCCTTGCCCTAGATTAGATGCTCTGCGGTGCTGCTGCTCCCCTAGCCGGGTGCCGCCGGCACAGGGAGTCTGCAGACTGGGCCCCTAACATTAGCTGGGAGGTGGTGATGCCCGCCCTGGCAGTGTCCTGAGTCCCTGCAGTTGCTTCTGGGAGCTGGAGGAACTCGGGCATCCCTCCCTTTTTCATACTGGGCCCCTTATATCATGCCACTTTGCAGGGGACTGAGGTCTGGCGGGCAAGGGCTGGAGAGAGGCACCTCCACGCCGAGCTGTGAGGCTCATGTGGTGGGGAGGAGCCTTGGGTTCCCTGAAGGGCTGTGGTCCAGCTCTGGGGGCAGCCTCCCACCCCCCAGCAGAACAAAGGGCTCTGGGTTGGCCTGGACTCTAAAACTGTTCCTTTACCCCTTCATATCCCGGCCCCCCACCCCCTGGCACCCCAGAACACCTCCACCATGATTCCTTTCAGCTCTCCTGTGGCTGAAGGTAGCAGAGGGGGAAGATCAGGGAAAAGTGAGCCTCCTGCAGGTGGGGGCCCTGGGTGGTCAGGGAGGAGAGCTCTGGGCCAGCCACCTTCCCCCGCCACATCCTCCCGCCCTCCCTCCCTGGAGTCCTGATTGCCTCCCCTGGCTCCACAGACAGCATGATCCGCGTTGGAACCAATTATCAAGCCGTAATTCCAGAGTGTAAGCCTGGTGAGTGGCAGGACAGGCTGCGATGGGAGGGGAGTGGAGGGGCCACGGCTTGGCTCCGAGCCCCACCTGGGGAGCCCTGGCTGGCTCCCAGGGCAGGACAGGCGGGCGGCCGGGGGTGGCCCTGGGGCACGGCTCCTTTTCCTGTTGTGCCTTCCTGTCTGGGTCTCTGCCCCTCATTGCCTTCTGGGCCTCACCTCCCCGGCCTCTTGCTGTGAGTCCAGGCTTTGGCCACAGGCTGATCTGATCCCTCCTCTGCCCCGCCACCTTGCAGAGAGCCCTGCGCGCTACAGCAATAAGGAGCTCAAGGGGATGTTGGTGTGGTCACCTAACCACTGCGTGTCAGATGCCAAGCGTGAGTGGGCGGAACCCTGGGGTGGAGCGCCAGCTGCGTGACCAGCTGGGTTCACAGCAGCCGATGGCTAGCTCTTCTCAGAAGTGGGCTAGAGGCTGGAAGGGTCGAGGCCCCTGGGTGGGGACCCCTCTCTGGGTGGTAGGGCCTAGGGTAAGCGCTGTAGCTCACGGCTCCAAGACCCACTTCCTCCCGCCCCTGCAGTTGACAAGTACATTGCAATGGCCAAGGAGAAACATGGCTACAACATTGAGCAGGTGAGGGTCGGCCAAGCAGGGAGTCGGGGTGGGGATGGGACGGTGCTGGGGCGGCCGAGCTGAACTGCTCCCGTCCCGGACCAGGCTCTGGGCATGCTTCTATGGCACAAACACGACGTGGAGAAGTCGCTGGCCGACCTGGCCAATTTTACCCCATTCCCCGACGAGTGGACGGTAGAGGACAAGGTGCTATTTGAACAGGCCTTTGGCTTCCATGGCAAATGCTTCCAGCGTATCCAGCAGATGGTATAAGCCCCCGCCCCTCCTCTGATGAACCTCCTGTGGCCCAGAGACCTGAGTGGACCCTGACCGCTGGCATTGTTTCCCGCAGCTGCCCGACAAGCTGATCCCCAGCCTGGTGAAGTATTACTACTCGTGGAAGAAGACCCGCAGCCGAACAAGCGTGATGGACAGGCAGGCTCGGCGACTGGGGGGCCGCAAGGACAAAGAAGACAGGTGAGGGCGTGGGTAAGAGCTCGGTGGGGACAAGCAGAGTTGGTGAGCCCTGGCCACGGCCTCGTTTCCTTCATGGGCCCTCTGTCCACAGCGATGAGGTTGAAGAGGGCCGAGGAGCTGTTAGTGAAGGAGAGCCAGACACTGGAGACCCCAAGAGAGAGGTGAGGTCTTAGAGGCGGTCTGACCCTGCCTACCCGCCCAGTCACCCCTCCTTGGGCTCTGCCCCGCCAACCCTGTCTCCTTTCCCTGCAGCCTGTGCCCTCTCGGCCCCTGAATGCCCGTCCAGGTCCCGGGAAGAAGGAGGTCCAGATGTCTCAGTACCGCCACCACCCGCTGCGGACGCGCCGGCGCCCACCGAAGGGCATGTACCTCAGCCCCGAGGGCCTCACTGCGGTGTCGGGGAGCCCAGACCTTGCCAACCTCACACTTCGAGGCCTCGACTCCCAGCTCATCTCCCTCAAACGCCAGGTGGGGGTTGAGATAAGAGGGGCCTTGCAGCAGGGCTGTGCACCGTCTGGGAACTTGGTTTTGGGGGTGTGCCTGTGGTATGAGGGAGACGGTGCCGGGGCCCAGCCTGGTTCTGCCCCATCCTGTGGGATTGTGGGTGATATGCAAGTCTCCCCCCCCCCCCCCCTTTTTTAAAAAACTGGTCTTTGGAACGGGGAGAAGCTGAAAGCAACACTGTATCTTCCCCACTGAAGGGGGTGGTGTGAGGGAGGAGTGAGTGGATGGCGGGTGGCAGAGAGCTTTGTTAGGGGAGGTAGGAATGATGTCTGCAGAGGACTTGGGGTACTGGCGAGGGTTGGGGGTTGGCCATGGTCACCTCCCTGGGATGGAGTCTGATCTGTCTGCCTGTCCTCATGCTTCCAGGTGCAGAGCATGAAGCAAAGCAACAGCAGCCTCCGCCAGGCCCTAGAGGGCGGTATCGATCCGCTCCGCCCCCCTGAGGTTAGGCTGCTCTTCAAGTTTGGGTGCAGAACGGGGTGCTCCTGAGAGGTGGGACAGAAAGGGGGGTCCTGTGGGGAGCGGATCCTCCGCTTCCATAGTTTTTGAGTCTAAGAGACGTATTCCTCACTCTCCAGGCAAACACTAAGTTCAATTCCCGCTGGACCACAGATGAGCAGCTTTTGGCTGTACAAGGTGGGTGAGCCCCTGGGGGGAACAGAATAAGCCTGGGATTCTATTTCCCCACCGTCCAGGGAGCCGGGGGTAGAAGGGAAGGATCAAGGAAGTAAGTGGTGCTGCGGGGTGTTCACACTCTGCCCTTTTGACCCTTGCAGCCATCCGTAGGTATGGCAAAGACTTTGGGGCTATTGCAGAGGTGATTGGGAACAAGACTCTGACCCAGGTGAAGACTTTCTTTGTGAGCTACCGGCGCCGCTTCAACCTGGAGGAGGTGCTGCAGGAATGGGAGGCTGAGCAGGATGGGGCTCCCGGAGGCCCGGTCCCCATGGAGGAGGCTAGGAGAGGGGCTCCCCTACCAGCCCCAGCCCTAGAGGAAGATGACGAGGTGAGGCGGCCCTGACAGACGTCCTGCAGAGGAGAGGCCCGTCCTCAGCCTTGGTCCTGAGAACTGGGCTGAGGGTGTGAGCAAGCTGACCCTTTCCTCTCCCCCCAGGTCCAGATTACATCTGTCTCCACATCTGTGCCTCGGTCGGTGCCCCCTGCACCCCCGCCTCCCCCGCCTCCCACTTCACTGTCTCAGCCACCCCCGCTGCTGAGGCCACCCCTGCCCACGGCACCCACTCTGCTTCGCCAGCCGCCCCCACTACAGCAGGGCCGCTTCCTCCAGCCCCGCCTGGCCCCCAACCAGCCCCCGCCACCGCTCATCCGCCCCGCTCTGGCCGCCTCCCGCCACAGTGCCCGCTCGGGCCCCCAGCCCCCACCGACCCTGATTGGAGCCCCTCTGGAGCCCCCAGCACCCTCACTCTGAGCCCTGAGAGCCATCGCCAACCAGAGGGAAGGCTCCAGAACCCCTTGGGGTCGACATCCCTGGGCACCTCCGGCATCACTGAGGGAAGACCCAGAGCTGCTGGTGTGCGCAGCTGGACACGTGGGCTCTGCACACCATCCTGGCAGCCGCGTCGTCTCCCGGCCAGGGGCTGGCTGGGCCACCTAAGCAGGCCTGAGGGTCTGGTTTCTGCTTCCGGGCTGTGACTGGAATGGCTGCTAGGTCTTGGCCTTTGAGCCCTGCCCTGTGTGTGTGTGTGTATGTGTGTGTATGTGGGGGCAGTGAGCATAGCTGGAGGTGACAGGACAGAGGACGGCCAATCTCCATCCTCTTTCCCTTATTTTAGCAATAAGTCGGGTGAGCTGGGCAGGGGGGCTTGCAGGCAGAGGTTCCTCAGGGCCTGACAGCAGTAGACGCTGGAGGGAATGTATCTTCGGGGGCTTTGAGGGTGCCTGCCGCACCCACTTGCCCAAGCTTGGAGAATGGGGGGTTGGGAACTTCATGCAGACCCGGGTTTATTTTTCAATGTTTTTAAAAAATAAAAGCTCCCAAGCTCACGGAGTCCGTTCCCTGTGTCAGGGCCCTGGGTCTTATCCATTCTCTCCGGCCAAGGCCAGTGAGCAGGACCCATCTTGTCCATGGGGACTGGGTCCCTGCCTGGGAGAAGAAATGGAGGCAGCAATCGCTGGGGTTCCAGACATTCTGTTTATTACGTGGTTGATCCAGAGGAGAAACAAGTGCAGGGGGGCTGAGTGGGGGAGGGGCCACCTTGCCTGGGTGCCCCAGCCCCCACCCCTTTGGGGACCAGGCCATGCCCTCCCGGCCCCCTCAGAGCACCCGGGCTGTTCCATAGGGCAGGAGGGGGGAGGGAGGGTGGGAAGGGGGAGCCCTTGGTCTGAGCCGGAGCCCGCAGTTGGGGGGCCTGGGGCAGGAGGGCTGAGGTTGGCAAGCCCCTTCCTGGGACCCAAGGGCTCAACTTGCCACTGAGCCTGGCCTGGGAGGGATGGGGGGGCTGGAGAAAATGATGAACAGGGGCAAAGTCGTCATGAATCAAAAAAATAAAATAATAAAAAATAAAACCCATCACAAAAAAATGTACAACTCAGGTGAGGGTGGGAGGGGCAGCCTTTTGCAGGACCTCCCTCCCCCAATTTCTCAAGAACCAAAACAGCAGAGAAATAAATTAAGGGGTGCAGCGGCCGTCCCCCAGCCAAGCGCCCCTAAGCCCCGACTCCCACACTGGCCGTGGAGGTGAGCTGTGAGCCACTACACACCCCCGTCTGTCCCCCACCAGGTGGAGGGTAGCTGTCCCCCACACGCCCGCCAGGCGGCCCAGGGCAGTGTCTCCTGGGAGGAGGGGCCGCGCGACAGTGTCAGGAAGAGAGGCAAGGCCGAGAGGAGACCGCCTGAGGGATCACTGCTATGGAACGAGCTGGTGCCCAGATTAATGCCAATGAAGGGGAGGCGGCGGGGAGGGCCGGCCGGGGAAGGGGTGTGCTTCCGGACAAGGGCTCTCCCAGAACGGAGAAGACCCGGAGTCCCCGGGAGCAGCCTCGGGGCCCTGAGGAGCCCATCCGCCCTGCAATCCCCCCGGCGCTGGCCCCGGGCTCAGGCCCTCCTTCTACCCGGGAGGGGGTGGGGGAGATGGCACAGACTTGTGAGGAGGGGAACGAACGCCCCACAGCAGCTTGTGGAAGGAAATGCCCAGCTCTGGGGAAGGAGGGCGGGCAGAGAGGATACAGTGTGGAGGGCGGCCCCTCAGCCTCACCTCGAAGCCCCAGAGCGGCCACCAGCCCCACCCCACCCCCGCTCCAGTCCACTGCTGCCCGGGCCCCAGGCCGCGGGGCCCGCGGTCAGGGCAAGGCCACCTCTGGCGGTTTGCTGGGAGGGAAGGAGCGCGGAGAAGCCCGAAGCGGGCCGGCGGAGGGACTGACGGGAACCCCACCACTCTTGCCTGAGAGTGTTCCAGCCCTGAGCCACCCTCCCGGGAGACCCCAGAGACCCAGTCTCCACTGTCCCAATGGGGCAGGGAGGAAAGGTGGCCGCTGGGAACTTTTTTTTTTTCTTTTTTTTTTTTTTTGGTAATAAAAAATTTCTTGGTTTCGGCGAAATACTCTGTGCAACCGCAGTACCGAGGGGAGGCCCTGCCCCTGCCCGCCCTCCCCTTCCTCTGCCTCCGTGGGGAAGGGGGGAGAGGAGGGCTTGTGGGCAGGGGTGAATGTGGGGGGCTGGGGAAGAACCCTCTCCCGGTCCCCACAGACAGGGAAGAAGAACCGAGCCGGGCGGGGAGGGAGAAGTGCCAGCAGGGGGAGCCACGCCGAGTCCAGTCCGCAGTCTTGCCCGCGGCGGCGCGGTGGCCCGAGGCCCCGGCAGCTGAGTCCGGCCGGCCGCCTGGTCCCCGCTCCCGGCAGCCGGTTAAAGCTTGAGCTCGTTGGCTATTTTGGAGGCAATGTTTTTGAAGGCCATGGAGGTGCCCGATATCCGCTTAAACCGCACGCCGTTGAGCGAGAGCCGCGGCAGTTTGCACACCTCCATCTCCCACTGCACGAAGTCCTCGTGGCCCGGCGTGCCGTGCACGCACAGCAGCATGTACTTCTCGTGCAGCTCGCTCTGGCAGCTGTTGGCGTCCAGCACCTTGCGGATCTCCCGCATCATCTCGTTGGGCTCCATGGAGCTCGTGGTCTTCATGCTCCACGTGAAGCGCAGCGAGCGCGGCTTGGCCTCGCGGAAGTCCTCCTTGTCTTTATCGTTGCCGCCGCCGCCGCCCACCACGTGAGGTCTGTGGAGAGGGCAGAGGGGGGCGTGTCAGGCGGGGGGCCCAGGCCCCCCACCCCGGGACAGCCCCCTTGGCAGGCAGATAGACCCTGAGACCAGAGGAGAGGGAAGGAGCCATCCGAGCTGGAAGAGGGAAGGTTAGAACCTGGTCCCCGGCCATCTCTCAAGACAGAGGGTGAGGAGAAGCCAGCCCTGGGGGGTGACAGTCCCATGCAGTGATCGGCTCTGTTCTGTGACCAGGGGTATGGGGGGTGGGGGAGAGTCCGAGCTCAGTGGCCTGAGCAGTTGACGGACTGTCTACACAGGAGGAAGGAACTGAGGCACGAAAAGGTGAACTAGTCCTGAGGCAGGAAGCCGCCCGCCCGCCCCACGCAGGGCTCCTTCCAGAGTATTAGAATACACAGGACCTGAGAAGGAGGGAGGCCCCCAGAGGGTGGGGCAGGGAAGAACCGACAGAGGAAGAGCCAAGTGGCAGGAGGAAGAGAGGAGCAGGAGGCTTGTGGCGAGCCCGGTGGCCCAGGCAGGCCCGGTGCTGGCTCCGGCCCTCTCACCTGAGCGTCTCCACTCGGTCTTTGCTTTCAGGTTCATTCAGGTTCCTCAAAAAACAGAGCGAGGGAGAGTTTAGTGCTGGGGCCTCTTGCTCCTTCCACCACCGCAGACCCAAGTGAGGGAGGGGACCGGCAGGTACCCCTCGCCCATCACCTGGCAGGCCAACCCGGCTCTGCGGCACCTCACCCTGGCAGCTCGACTATCCCTGTCCAACCGGGAAGCCTGGCGCACGGGCCTGGTCCACCCCACAGTCCCAGAGAACCACGCTGGGGAGAGGGTGCCTGACTCCGGGAGGCCTGGGTGTGCGCCTGGCTGGCCCCTGGCCGCGGCACCAGGCTCGCCGGCTGCACTGGGGCGGGCTGGGTGGGGGGCTTTCACACTAACACCAGGGGCTTGGGCCTGCAATCCTCTGGAGTGTGTGGGGGACCTGTGTGGGAGAAGGGGCTGGGCAGTGTGTGGAGGCCTCTCTCAGGAGGCCCCAAGGGCCCAGCCCTCCAGAGTTGGCCTGCTGAGGGCTGGGGGAGGAACAGGGCTACAGGAAGGGAAAGGTTGCCTTCTCCCCTCTTTTAGCTCCCCATCTGCCGGCCTGCCAGCCATCTGCTTGTGCAGAGAGGAGGAGGGAGGAGGCCAGGGTAGGTGGACACCTTGGGAGGGTGGGTGAGGAAGAGGTCTGGCCCCGCTGAGCGGCTTCTCCAGCTCCTGACTGGAAGATGGGTGCCTGGAGCCAGGAAATTGGGGACCGTGGAGGAGAGGGCGTGAGGAAGAGGAAGAAAGCAGCAGCAGCCGCACACGTAAAAGGACACGAAGAGACACGACAGACGCAGTGCAAACCGGCGGACTGTGGGTGGCTGGCGGGTGCAGGGTAGGAGCCCCCAGCGGCTCCGCCCAGCCCCACTCAAGGGCCCGGCTCCCGCCGGTGCGGGTGAAGGCCCCTGCAGAGCAGGCCACCTGGGACCCTGTGCAGCAACCGACAGCCATGCGGTGAGAGGCTGGGGGAGGGGACGGAAGGGGAAGCCTGACCCTGTCTTGAGTTTCTCCTTCAGACGGGGTTCCGGTATGGCCACCAGGTGTCCCCAGCCCCAGCTGAGGCCTGGGAACCAGTGCTCTCCGTCAGGGCCCGGTCCACCCAGTTCTCCAGAGAGGAAGAGGATGGGGCCAGGGGTGGAAGGCCAGGAGCTGGCCTGGGAAGGAAGATGCCAGAGGGAGGGCAAGGTCTCTCACTCTCAGGACCTGGGGGCAGACAGCCCCTAGAACCTCCCGGGCGGGCTCTGGCTCTCCAGAACCCACAGGCCATGCCAGGTGAGCACAAGCCAGAGGAGAGGAGGTGTGACCCAGCCACTACTGCTGGAGGCAGGTGTGCTGGCCAGGGTGGTGGTGGCAGGCGGGGGAAGGGGCTAGTTCTGCAGGAGCTGCCAGAAGGGGGCGCTGTGCTCCATTCCTGAGCAAAGCCTCCTTGGGCCTGGAGGACTCTGACTGCCACCTCTGCACTCAAGTCTCTGTAGTACCTCTAAAGTCCTGCCATCCCAAAGGACAGGGCAAGAGGTCATACAGCCCTGAAGTTCAGGGGCCCAAGGAAGGAAGTCCAGGAGCTCACAGACTGAAACGGGATCCCAGACGCACTTTTAACCCCAGTCAGCCTCCTCAGAGCATGCATACAGCAGGGAAAGGGACAGAAGGGAACCCACCACTGGTGACCAAAACCCTAGGGCGGAGGCGAGGACAATCTTAAAGGGAGAATTCCCTGAGAAGGTCCCTCTTGCTTGGGGACAGGCATCACTGTGGGCCCAAGGGCCCTCATTTTCAAAGCCATCTGCCCTATGTGGGCCAACGTGCCCTCTTGGGGGCTATGTGCCCCTCACCTGCCCGTCTGTAGGAGTCAGGAGGGCAGGCCTTGTGCAGATGCCCAGTGAGAGGCAGGCTTCATCCCTTTAAGATGGCAGAGGAAGGAGGGCCACACAGACTTGGTTAGCAGGTGAAGGAGGAAGCAAGAGCCAGAAGAGGGGAGTTAATGATGGAAGCAGGACACAGGACAGACACACACACCCAGTGGGCTCAACGCCTACCTTCTGGCAAATCTGAAAGACAGATTTCTAAAAAAACAAACAAAAAAAGACAAAATAAAAAAAGAAAATAAAAAAAAAAACAACAAGACGGTATGTGGATAAGCAGGTGGGGGAGTGGAGTTTACAGGTTAAGGGTCACCTCCGTTCTGCAAGAGCCGCTCAGCGAGACTAGAGTCTGAGATGCCCTGATCTGCCCGCGCTCCCACCCCCTGTGCCCCTCCTGCCGCCAGGACAACTGTGTGGCAGGGCTGGAAAGGGGAGGAATGAAGGCAGGCAAGCCTGCTCTGTCAAAGCCACCTACTGCTTCCTGAGCCCCTGCTCCACGGCAGGTGGGCCACGAGGTGGGAGGAGATAGGGAGCAGCCCGAGAGGCAAAGTTCCTTGGCGTACCTCAAGAATCAAAAGTTGTCCGAATCCCTCCCCACGAACCAACCAGGAGCATGTTAGCGCTCCAGGGCAGGAGGGCCACCTGGGCCCCCCCCAGCCTTTTCATTTCAGGGCTTCATCCAGAAACCCCCAGGTGGCCAGGAGCACGTCCTACAGCCGGCCCCTGCCCTTGTCAGAAAAAAACCACACCACTGGATCAGGGGCAGGAGGTCAAAGGGGGTGAGACAAGAGACCAGTAAAAGGCCTGTGTTCTTTGCTGGCCCAGCCTGGCTCATGCCTCATGACTTTGCAGCTGCGTCACCAAATATAAGTTTCCATGGGAACCCAGGAGGGAAGAGGGGGCTTTTATTTTAGCATCTGAGTTCACACTCCCCTGGAGAGGAGGCGGCAGCGGCCATCTGCTGGGGGCCGGAGAAGAAGGGGTATGTGCAGAGTTGGGGAGAGGCCCCAGAGGGGATGGGCCTGGGCACAGAAGGTGTCAGCAGCCACTCCTGGGCTAGGCCAGATTTCTCGGGCTTCCCAAGCCTTTCCTAACGCCGGGGCCCAGCCTCAGTTGTGGGTATCCCCGCGCCCACCTCTAGGCATGTTGGTAGGCCTGGCCTCAGCCTCCGTGTCACCCTAACCTCCTGCTCACCTGCGTACGAACTTGGAGGTGAATTTACTGAAGATGCTCCCGGAGGCCCCTCTCCGGCCTTGGCTGTTGCCAGAGGGAGAGGCTGGGGTCACAGCGTAGGGCAAATTCTGCTGGTCCCGCACCTGTCGGAGCTGCCCGGCATGGAAGGTGCTTCGACTGGACACGCCCCGGGGGAAACTGGTTCGCTCTGGGGCCCCGCCACCGCTGCTGATGTTGTGGGCGGAGGGGGAGGCGACAGGGACACGCTGAGGGGCTGTGCTGTGGGGAGAGAGGGGGAGGGGGATGGATCAGCGTACAGGAAAGCCATCACCAGCCAACGCCTGAGCACTCTGGGCGGGGACAGGGAAGGGGGACGCTGGGTCACAGGCAGGCATCACAGAGGACACAGAAGGAAGGGGTGACCACTAAGGACACAGTCAGGAAGGCATGAGGGGGTGGAAGGAGATGGTGGGAGGGAGACGAGGAGGGAGACATGGAGGCGGCGGTACAGGTTGGAGAGAAGAGGCTCCTGGTGACCAGCATCTCAAGGGACAACGCTGCCAAACCTCCAGGCCAGGGTCCCTGGGGCACTGGCCCTCATGGAGTCTGAGGAGGCCCAGCCATCCAGGCCCCCTTCTGGACCCTCAGGCCCACTTCCTGCAAGTCTTTCCTGAGAGGGGGGCAGGTGGAAGGGAGGGGTATATGGTCTGTTTCAGGTTCTCCCCACTTTCTGGCCACTTCTTGCAGCTAAGATGACAAGAACAGAGCAAGACCCCAGGCAGAAAGGAGAAACTGCTGGGGTGGAGGGGAGGGCAGGCGGGAGGCAGCAGGCGCCCCAGCTGCCCCAGCACACTTGCCTGGGCCGCGGCACCTCACAGTTACTCTCCGTGGGGGGCAGCCCAGAGGCCTTGTTGGGGTGCATGGAGGCCGACATGGATTTCTGGTGCTGGCGGGGTCGGGCCGCAGAGACTGCGGCGGAAGCAGAAGCCGTGGAGGCCCGGGACCCTGGCATGGTTAGGCTAGGAGACAAAAGCAGCGGAGAGGGCCGGGTTAGGGGGTTAGGGGGTTGGGGGTTGGGGGTTGGGGCAGGAGGCCCGGGTTAGGAAGCAAGGGCAGGGAACGGCCTGAGATGGGAGCATCAGCAGGACGTGGGTCAGACCTGAGGAACGGGGGTGGGAAATGGAGGGCAGGGTGAGGAAGCAGCAAGGTAGGCCGGAGCCAGAAGAGGAAACGGGCAACAGGAAGCAAGTGCCTGTGGGCTGCACTGGTCTCCTGAGAACTCTGAGAACAAGGAGGGTCTCTCTACAGGAGCGGCCGCTGCTAGGGAGAGACACTCAGCGCGTTGAGCAGGGGCGAAGCCAGGAGCTCAGCACACCTAGACACTGCCTATCCCAGTAGGGAGGCTGTGTTCTCCCAAGGCCTGGCTGGCACCACCCTCAATGGGGACCCCTCAGATGGGTATCTCTTGGTTCTCCCCTGAGCCGGGGCCCCCAAAACAAAGCCATGGGCACTGATGTCCAAAGGAGGGCAACTGCCATGTCCTGGCTGCAGTGGAGAAGCAGGAAGACAGCTGGGATGGCCACTGGGAGCCCTCACTCAGGACACTGCAAGGAGCAGGCAGGGCAGGGAGAAGGAGATGGGGGAGCAGGGGGACAGACGGGGGAGAGCAGGGAGGAGGTACGCGATGTGGAGAGCTCAACTGAACAGACCAGGGACAGAACTCGAGAAGCGAGAGCAAAACTCTGGGTGGGAGAGGAGATGGCACTGCCGACAGACGTCACTGCTGTGAGTGGGTGCTCTGCGCCTCGCTCCTGGGCAGTGTGGCGGGCCAGGCCCGGGCCTGCTCACCTGTCTTTGCCATTCTGGATGGAGGCTTGGCCAAGGCTGGTCCTCTCCAGAAGTGGGGAATTCCTGCTTCGATTTGTGCTGGTGGAGAGGACGCTGTTCTGTGGGGAACAAAGAGGGACAGATGGATGAAAGAGAATGCAAGTCTTCTTATAGTCAGGTTCTCTTCCCAGGTCACAGACAAGTTTCCCACCACCTTCCACCGAAGCAGACAGGGGTTTCACCTTCACTCCTGGGCTACAGGCAGCCCTGAGGAGCCAGGCCTGGACGAAGAACACCTGCCTGGGAAGCAGACCCCCTGTGGGAGACCGGAAGGCACAAGGCGCTGGAGGGCAGGGGAGAGGCGCATGCGACTCACCGTGGAGGGGGTAGGGGTGGTCTTCTTCCTCTCCAGGCCGGGCAGGGGGCTGGCAGGCACTTTGGCTGTGCTGCTGGCCTTCCGCCCCGATTCTCTGTCCTCCTCAGGCCTCTTATTTTCTGCGTTATTACTCTGAGTCTTCTTAGAGTATGAATTAGAGGTGGGAATGGCAGGACCGGCTGCTGGGCCAGATAGGAGAGGAAAATGGGTAAGGCCAGGCCCACCGAGGTCCACTGAGTGCGCGGTGCTCTCCTACAACCTTGCCAGCAGCCCAGCAGCCCCCCATTTCACAGAGGCGGAGAGAAGTCACATCACTGGCCCAAGGCCATGCAACTGCTCAGCGGATGAAACTCCGCAGGGTCATCCAAAGCGCCCAGAACCTGTGACCTCTCTGGAGGGATGAGCCGTTTGCTACCACCCCCCAAAGCACTTACCCTGATCGCTGAAGCGCCGCTGCTTGGGGTTGGCTGAGACGCTGCGCTGTACCTTGTGGGAGGGGGATGGGGCGCTGTGATTGGTCAGATCAGCTGAAGGTCGCGGCTTCAAGGTGATGGTGTCACCCTCCAGCTGCAAGAACAGGGTGCTTGGCATCAGGGGCAGGCAGAAGTCAGGCAAGATGCTGGCACATGGACACACTCACTGACACGTAAGATAGCCAGGCTCACAGGTGACATCCCTCCCCAGCACCCGAGATTGATAGGCATCTAAACATATCCGTCACCCTGGAGACACACGTGTCCCAAAGCAGACACCAACGACCACAGACAAAGACACATCCCTGCCCTCAAAGAGGTATACACATTTACACACCCAAAGGGTATACATTCAGACCCAGAGAGCCCCCCATACCAACAGGGTCTCACCCCAAGCCCCTCCTCTAAAGGAGGTTAAGGCAAGAACCAGGAGAAGCAGCCCACCCACCACGAGGGAGAGCAAGGTGGGGAGGCTGCGAGTGCACGTGCAGAGACACAGATGCTGAGCACAACCCTGATTCCAGAAATACCCATGGACTAACAGACACGGCAGCAAAACAGTCCCCAGTCATGTGGCTCCACAGACGGGAGGCTGGACATGCATATACACAGATACACGTACCCCAACAGAAGCACCAGACAGAAACAACATGCACATGGCCATGTACTCAGACACACACACATACACAAGCCCAGAGGTGGACACTTCCAGATACAGAGAGAAACGCAAACACAGGAAAAAAGACACAGGCGCCTAGGATCAACAGAGAGAACCAGAGACTGAGCCACACCAACTCACCCAGATCAGAACACAGACCCAGACCCCTCCAGCCTTCTCACTCATTCACTGATGGAGATGAGCGAAAGCAAGGGCCAAAAGCCCGAGACACCACAGCTGAGGCTTAAAACTGGCCAGTAGAGAGTACACCTTCTTGGAGATGAGCTTCTGCCCCCAACGGTGCCAGAAGCAGAGGGTGCAACAGCGAGGCTGCCAGACCAGGGGGTGGAGCAGGGGGCACACACCTCAGAGCTCTTGTAGCCCAGGAGCAGGTAGGTGGCCATCACCTCGTTGTACCTCTGGCCCACCAGCGAGTCCTGGATCTCTTCCCGGGTGTAACCCATGGACACCATCAACTCTGCGTGGGAGGGACACAGTTAGGCTGGTCCTGGGCCTCAGGCAGCCCGACCCCAGGGCCCAGCACAGCCTCACCTGTCCGCCGGGGGTCCTTATAGTCGGGGAGTGGCTCCACGTAAGGCTTTAGCTCATCATCTTCGTGACCCACGTTCATCCATCGATCTTTCATGATTTGCTGGGAGCAAAGGAAAGGGCAAAGGGGAGAGAAGGCGGCCCCTTAGCTGAGAAGTTCCTGGGGGACCCCAGGGCCTTCCCGTCAGCTGGGCTCCAGGCTGCTCACCTCTAAAGTGCCCCTCTTGCTGGGATTGAGGATGAGAAATTTCTTAAGCAGGTTTTCACAGTCCGTGGACATGTAGAACGGAATACGGTATTTTCCCCTCAGTACTCGTTCCCGCAGCTCCTGTGGAGGATTCCAGTTAGGAAACTTAAATCACCCCAAGGCCAATAGAAGAGCCCTAAGACCCAGGATCCTTAGGCTTTAAGACTGGCCAGGCAGACTCCCGTGGACAGTCCACGTCACCAGAGAAGTAGTGACATCCAATACCCTGTGCCTTCTGGTTTGACCAGTCAGAGGCCTGAAATCCCAGAGTGCCTTGGAGGGGCAGATACACACACAGTCTGCCCCATCTCTCCAGAAAAGAAATGAAGTTACTATGCTGGAAGTCCTGGCGGCACAACAGTTAAGCACTCGGGGGCAAACTGAAAGGCTGGCAGTCGCTGTGTGGGAGAAAGACCTGGCAATTGTCTTCTGTAGAGATTACAGCCTAGCAAACTCTATGGGGCGGTTCCACTGTCACACAGGGGTCGCTGTGAGCTGGAATCAGCTCCATGGTGTCCAACAACATGGGAGGGGCAAGTGACCTCTGAACTGCCACTGCCTTCAGCAAGCCCTGCTCTGGAGCTCTAGCCTGGGAGACAAGTAGGTGAAGTCAGGGTTAAGACCAGAGGCTGCGAGAGCAGGGGAGACGCAGTACACGTGGCCGAAGCCTGCACTTCCCCTACCTTGAGGTTCTGTCCATCAAAAGGCAGGGAGCCGCTGACCAGTGTGTACAAGATGACGCCGAGGCTCCAGACATCCACCTCGGGGCCATCGTACTTCTTGCCCTGGAAGAGTTCTGGGGCAGCGTAAGGGGGACTGCCACAGAAAGTGTCCAGCTTGTTCCCAAAGGTGAACTCATTGCTGAAGCCAAAGTCTGCAATCTTAATGTTCATGTCAGCATCCAAGAGCAGGTTTTCCGCCTGGAAGGTAAGATGGAAGATGTCACGGAACCAGGTGGGCCACGGAAGCGCAAAGGGATGGGAAGGAGCCCGGTGAATGGGTGAACACATGGGACGCCACCTGCAGCCTCAGAACTCCCCCCACCCACTCCAGGGTAGGCTTCGGTCTCAACGGGCCGGGCTGGAGAGGACAGCGCAGGCCACGCCACCCAGGCAGCCATGGGATGGGAGCTGCTTGCACATGCCGGGAGCTACACACAGCTTCAGCAGCAGGCCTGGCTAGTCACAGGTCTGAGGATGTGGAGACCAACTTTGACATTCAGCAGAGCAATGGTGTGTGTGCGCATGTGCACGCAAGGCTGTCAAGCTCTAGTTATGCTGCTGTGGGGACCCTCAACATTCTCCCCTCTGTCTGGAAGCTTCCGCCACGCCTAGCAGCACCAAGAGGGGACGTGCTGAGAGGTAAAATGACAGAAGTTCACTAGTCTGAAGACTGACTCAGAAACGGCTGTAGGTGTTTCCTCCTCACCTCAAAAAAATGAAAGGCTAGAGTTTCCTTACATTCTCAGGACCTGATGGTTCTGTCCTGGTGAATGAGGGGGACAGCCCAGCCCCCACTGAGAGACACAGGGCTAAGAACCGGCCTTACCTTTAAGTCTCTGTGAACAATAAACTTCTGGTGACAGTACTGGACAGCAGATACTATCTGAAAAGAAGGAAGAAGGGCGAGTCCAGGACACCTATGGGTGGCCCACCGCAGCTGGCTAAGCTGGGGCCCCAGGACCGAGTTCTGAGCCACCACACAGGTCAGCGAAGGTCACCTACAGCTTCTCCTCCTATTCCAGTGCCCAGAGGGCAGGCAGGCCCCCACTCCAGGGAGGGCGCCACTTACCTGGCGGAATTTGGCTCGAGCCTCTTTTTCTTTCATCCTGCCATGAGCCACGAGGTAATCAAATACCTCTCCTGAAAGAGCCAGGGCCAGAGAACTAGGTCAGAGCTAGCTGGGGCTGGGGAAGTGGGGGCACAATCGGCAGGAAGAGGCGACGCGACCCCACACCTACCTCCGCTGGCATACTCCATGACAAGGTAGAGCGTTTTCTCTGTCTCAATCACTTCAAATAATTTAACTACAAGAGAAATGGCCGAGCTGAGTTCATGCAACAGCAGGGCCCCACATCAAGTCCCAACACATCCCAGGGGTCAAAGTTTGCTTCCTTTTTGTCTTGCACCCTCCTGAGAACAAGTTCCTCTCACAGCAGCCAACAGGTGGCTGTGAGTCAGGACAACCCAACGGCAGTGGATCTGTGGCTTCGATTAGGGGCTGCAGGGTGCACCAGAGGGGAGCTGCATTTTGAGTGGACCTGCCCAGAGGCACCCCTGAGGCCCCACACCCTCTTGCCCCCAGAAGGCAAGATGCCTGGGGGAGAAGGGCCGCGCGCGCCGGAGAGCAGCCTCACAGACAGGGAAGGCTGCAAGGCATGGCAGCTCTCACCTATGTTGGGATGATTCAAAACCTTCATTATTCTTACTTCACGGAAGAGCTGGAAAAAAAAAAAAAGACCGGGGTCATGGCTGTTCCACTGCTCCCTCGGGCCCCTCCCAACAGTCACTGCTACAATGAGTTTGTCACAAAAAGAAAAAACCAGGCAAATAAATAAATCAGACAGTCGGCCGGCTGCCACATGCCTCTCGGACGGCCGGGCAGGCGTGCAGAGGGTGAGCAGAGGCGAGCTGAGAGGGGCCTGGAACCCTTTTCTACTGACCAGCTACCCCCATGTTTGGCACCAGAGCTAATCAGGGCAAGTCAGCCACGCCCCTGCCGTACCTAACCAAGTGCAGCCCCCAAACAGAGGTGGGCTGGGTGCCTGTGAAGAAGGGAGTATGAGCCCATGGACATGGATGTGACTCTTCAGAACCGGAGCTGCTTCTCAAGTTCAGTGACTACACAGACTCTGGCTTGTCTGTGGGAGGGTGGTGGGAGCTGCAGGGCACCCCATCAGCCTGTGACTTACAGGAGCAGAGGGCTCAGCCCTGTAGAGGGCTCTTTCTCCTGGGCTCTGAGGTGCTGACAGAAGAGCCCACTCCTATATATAGCTGATGCCAATTTTAATCAAGTCCACCTCCACACACTCACGCTCGCTTTGTAAAACAAAATCAGGGGCTCCGAACCATACATTCCCATAGAGAAAGATGACAGAAATGAACTCCTTCCCCTGTGGGGGCCAGGGAACTGGTAACTCCTGGGCCTCACCACCTGCACAAAGAGCAGAGTTTTGCTTTGTTTCCTTGGTAGGGTTAGGGTGCAGGCCCTGAAAAAAACCAAACACATTTTCTTTTCCTCCTGGAATGAGCCCCCAGAGCTTCCGTGAGCCGCAAAGGGGAAGAGCAGACTAAGGGGTGCCTAACTCAAGCCATGGTGTTTCCAGTCACCTCGTGTGCATGTGACAGCGGGACAGTGACTCAGACCGAAGACGAGCTGCTGCCTGTGAGCTGTGGTGCTTGCGGAGAATGCTCAAAGTACCACGGTCTGCTAAAAGAACTAAGAAATCTGTCCTGGAAGGAGCGCAGCCGGAACGCTCCTTAGAAGCGAGAATGGCCAGACTTTGTCTCACCTACTTTGGTCACATTGTCAGAAGGGGCCATTCTCTATAGAAGAATACCATGCTTGGTAAAGTGGAAGGTCAGCAAAAAAGTGGAAGGCCCTCAACAAGACGGATTGACACAGCGGCTGCAGCGATGGGCTACGTATAGTAGTGGTTGTGAGGCTGGCACAGGACCGGGCAGTGTTTCGTTCTGTCATACATAAGGTCGCTATGAGTCAGAGACAACTCAATGGCACATAACAACACAACGGGCAGCATTTTATCTTCGGGAGACAGAGGCTGACCTGGCTCCCCTGTCTTGTTAGTCTAGGCCTTTCTGGCTTTCATCTCTGGCCCAGCAGTTGTCTTAAATGAAGAGGGCAAAGACTATGGCTGCCAGCTCAGGGGCCGCAGCGGGGCAGCCTCAAGTGGAGTTCAGAGGGAGCTGTGGCAGCTGCAGTAGGTCCAGGCTCCACCTGATGCCAGGGACTGCAGTCACAGGAGGGCACGGTCAGAACAGCTTCTGAGCCCCCACAGCCACTGACTCTTGACATCTGCCTGTATCACTGCTCACCCCATATTAACTGTTGTCTGCCTGTCCCAATGGAAATGGGAGCTTCCGGAAGGCAGGTACGTATCATTTATTCACTGGCCATGAAGTGAAGTGGCATTCCCCAGGGAGAGCTCTCAGGCGCTGGTTGGTCTAGAACCTGGAGGTTACAAGCTGCTTCAATGCTCTTCTTTTATGAATTGCTGCTCTGATCAAATTTAATCAGAGTGATTGGGCCAGAATCAGATTGGCCCGGATAATGGAATGTGTTCACGGCTTTTAAAATGGCGACACGGGTCTGGTGCTAGTGCCTTCCAGGCCGTTGGTAAGAGGCAGAGAGAAGAAAGAGACAGGAAATCAGGGGGCGTGGCTGACTCTAGAAATGATTACAATGGCAGGTTGACTGCTCCAAAGACCTAATGGCCCATACCAAGCTGACGTCTACTTCTGTGGTCTGAGCCAGAATGTCAAGACAGCTCTCTTTCCTTTCTCCCCAGAAAGCTCCAAGCAGGGAAGTCCTGGTGATGACAACTGGGTTTCCTTTTAACCAAAGAACCTTTGAGGGGATCCCAAATCAAAAAACAAATTCACTGCCATCGAGTTGGATCCGACTCAGAGTGACTCTTTGGGTTTCCAAGGTGGTATCACTACGGAAATAGTTTGCCCAACCTTCCTTCTGAGGAGTGGCTGGTGGGTATGAATTGCCAGCTTTCTGGTAGCAGTCAAGTGCCTTAGTCACTATGCCACCAGAGCTCAGGGGAACAGAAAACTCCCTGGTTCTGGCTATCAGCCTGTCAGGGTGGCTCAACCCACCCTGTCAAATCCTGTGAACATCTCCTTCAGTAACAACATGGTCCCAGGTCTGCCAACTGCACTGTATTTGACTGCTAGCATGGGGTTATGCCCCTCCCCCTCTTCTCAGTCACTATAGTGTGTTAAAAAATAAATAAACTTAAACTCCAAATTCACTGCTGTCATTCTGACTCACAGCGACCCCTCCTTGGGTTTCCAAGGCGGTACCTCTACGGAAGTAGATTTCCCAATCTCTCTTCCGAGGAGTGGCTGGTGAGTTTGAACCGCCAGCCTTGTGGTTAGTAGTCAAATACCTTAGGTATTACGCCACCAGAGCTCCTACGATGTGTTCAGGAAGAGAAAAATCCAATGCACCACACACACACAAAAAAAACCACAAAGGTAATATAGTGGCTGCAATGCGGGCTCAGGTATAGCAAGGACTGTGAGGCTGTCACAGAACTGGGCAGTGTTTTGTTCTGTTGTACACAGGGTCACTGCGGTGTAGTACATTACTTATTGTGGCTTTTCTACCCATAAGTCTTTGTAAACTCCAAGGTGGAGTTTGCCATGAGCAACTGAGGAGCTCCTGATTGCTAAAGTTGTCCACCTGGGGTATTTCTGTTGGGAGTGGCACTAAACAATGTTCTGGGAGGTTGCCACTCTCTCTTAGGTGTTTAGGATTCTGATGCTATGACTGGTTGGTTTGGCCACTCTGCCAGAATCAAAAAGAGGCCTCCTAGAGGCAGAACTCTCTGACTGCTGGCTGAGGAAGATGTGCTGCTGAAAAAGACACACGCTCCTGAGACACGCGTTGCTGGGAAAGAGACACAAGAGACACGCATTGCTGAGTGAGACACCGAGGGACCAGCACTGCTGGGAAAGAGACTGTGAGAGACTGTTGGCTGAGGGATGGTGGGCTGGGAGAGAGACTGAGCATTTTTCCTGAACTTGAACTGTAGCCTGTGGTGCTTCCCTAATAAACCCCGTAATCTGTGAGTTCTGTGTGGCCACTGCAGTGAATTATCAAACCCAGGAGAGAGGTAGTGGGTACTTTGGAAGGAACAGTTGGTGAAAGGGCTGGAGGGAGGCAGCATGTCTGGCCTCACAGTAATAGGCCTTGGCTTACTGATAGTGATTCTGTCTTCCTCTTGTGGGGTTAGAGGAGGTCAGAACATGTGGCCTCCTTGTCCTTTTTGCAGTCACTATCAGTCAGAGCTGACTAGACGGCACCTAACAACAACAACAACAATAATCAAGGTCAGAAAATTTAGGCCAGGGTCAGCGGCAGTTTGAGGGTACAATGGAAATTTGACTGGCTTGGAGAAGGGCAGCTTTACTGGGACTTTTTTGGAGCTTTCCTGCCTCCCCTGTCTGCCAGCACCCAGGATGGGAGGAAAAGGTACAGAGTTGCCAGCTTCGTAACAGACAGGCTTTGGCAAGCTTTCCCTCTTCTGCAAATAACCATCTCCCTTCTTGCTTTGCTCATTCCTACCAGCTTTCCAGAGTTTCCTGGGCCTGCCGGATCCCCCCACCACCTCCATTTCCCACAATGAGACAAGACAAGCAACAGGCCAGCCTCATCTAGTGAAGACTGTGCAAGTGACTTTGCGATCTCTAGCCAAGAGGAGTTTAGGAGTGAGAAGAGAACTGGAAGTGCCTGTCCTGGGCCTGCCCACATTGTCAGCATCTGGGAACCGGGGTTGAACTTCTGAAGACTGTCTCTGGCACTTGAAAGGGCAGCTGGCCCAGAAGAACCCAGCGGCAGTTCCCCGCCTCCCCTTATCCTTGTCCTTCTAGTGCCTCCCCTGGGTCACTCCCAATCCTGGAGAAGTTGCACAGACTTCTAGACATGGCTGTGAATGTGTGTGTCTGCATAAGGATGGCCAAAGACCAGAAGATAAGGAGATGTAAGAAAGAGATCAGATAGAGAGGCCAAGAGGCTGGGAAAGGGCAGAATGATGTCAGAAGAGGCAGTGACTGGGGACAAAAAGCCCACCCAGGAGGTGTCACCACAGGAGGCCAAAGTGCTGAAAGTAGCAGAACCAGAGGGAGGGGTTTGAGGGACAAAAAAATGGCCAGAGATTTTAAACTAGGGGGCTCAAAGTCCAAGTGGGATCAGTAGATCACTGACTCCTGGAAAGGCTTAGAAAGAACAGGTGGTGCTCACGCTTACTTTCTGGAGGCTGGAGGAGTTCAGTTGAGTCTTATCAATGATCTTCACGGCTACCTGAATGGGAGGAAAAAACCAGGTTACTTCTTGGACTGGGCTGAAGCCACCACTAGTCAACTTTGTCCTTTCCAAGTCCCACTCCTTTCTGCCCCATCTCGCTAAGTGCCCTCAAAGGCTCAGATCTCACTTCTGCCTGATAAACCAGAGGGTGCTTGTGCCAGGAGTCCCACCACCACCTGCCAACAGTGCTGGGAGGTGCTGCCAGGTGCCCAGCCCCAGAGCTCACCTCCTTCCCAGTTAGGATGTGCCGGGCCAACTTCACCTTGGCGAAGTTACCCTTGCCAATGGTCTTGAGGAGCCGATAGTTGCCAATATGGGGCTGTTCGTCAGCAGAAGTGGCCGAGTTGCGGCCCCGCAGCATGTTGGACTTACTGCTGGGCTTGGAGTCGAGGTGTCCCACGGTGGGCTGCGGACCAACAGAGACACACCTTCAGGCATGCTGCCCTTCCAGTTTCCCATACCCTTGCCCTCAGCTCTCTGCAAAAAATGTAAGAGACAGACTCCAGGGGGCTGGTAGACATGCCAAAGGGATCCTAAGGCAGGACAAAGAAAAGGAGAAGAGTGAGAGAGCCAGCTTCCCCTCCAAAAGAGCACGGCACGAGGTCCAACGCAGACACAGTGGGCGCTCGAGCTCAGGACCTGAGCCGTTCCATCAAGAGCTCCACCGCCTGGCAATGCAATCCTCCCAGTAATAACCCAAGAACTCCTTCACCTCACACGGGAGACCCACCGCCCACTTCCCCCAGTTGCTTGCTGGCACTGTGAGAAGGCTGTGTCTCAGTCACAGGAGGACGTGGTCAGAACGGCTTCCGAGCCCCCATGACTACCGACTCGTGACATTTGCCTGTACTGTTGATCACCCCACATTTGTCTGTCGTCTATCTATCCCACTCAAAATGGGGGCTTCGTGAAGGCAGGCACATATCATTTATTCAGTGATACATCTAGCACCTACACAGAGACTGCCTCTGGCAGATGCTCCACGAACGCGTGTGCAATGAGTGAACTGAGGGAGCAGGTCCGCGCAAGGCAGAGCACACAGCTCAAAGAAGGGCGTGACAAAGCCAAAGTGAAAACAACCAGCAGCAACCAGGTACATAAACATAATACTAAAAGGGTCTGCTGCAAACGAAAACACATGTTCATATAATGACCTGTATGTTCCTCAAATGGTTAAACACAGTTACTAAGGACCCAGCATTTCCCAAGAGAAACGAAAATGTATGCTCACACAAAAGTTGGACACTAATGTCTACAACAGCATTGCTTTTAACTCAGTCAAAAAAGAAAAACAACTCATGTCCATCAAAAGATAAACAGATAAACAAGTTGTGATACATCCACACAGTGGAGTATCATGTGGCAATAAAAGAAAACCAAGTTCTTACACGTGCTACAACATGGATGAATTTTGGAACGCTGAGTTAATTCAAAGAAGCCAAACTCCATGGGACCTAACAACAGTATGTACGAAACATCCAAAACAGGCAACTCTAGAGAGACAGCAAGTAGATTAGTCATTGTCCAGGGCTAGCCCAAATAAGGGGTCTACGGGGTGAAGAGTAGGGGGCACAAGGTCTCCTTCTGGGTAATGAAAATGTTCTGAAATTGATTGTAGTGACAGATGAACAAATTCTGTAAATTTACTAAAAATCACTGATTGAATATTATGGAATGTGAATTTTTTTTTCATGGTAAAAATCATCTCTATTTTACAGCTCAAAACACCATGGGTTCAAGACTGTGTCCTGCTCAAGGTTCCACAGCAGGCAGCAGAAGTGGGTGTGTACCAGTAAGCCTGGGAGCAAAGCCCACCTCACCCCATAGCTCCTCAAGTATACTGTAAGCACATGCTTCTCTTCAGCACGTCAGGCTGCCTCACGCAGGCCTGAGCTCCAGCAATTCACATGCACTGACTGATCAAGACAAGTTTCCGTAGTGCTACCTCCAAAGTCCCATCACATCCCTTAGTTCATGAATGATTTTAGCTGCAGCTGTGGTAGACAGTTCCTTGCAAGCTTGGACTCAACTCACATGGTCAGTGTCCTGTTCCAAGTACAATCCCAAGTCTGCACACCTGCCGCAGGCATCATAGCACCACAGGAGCCGGCCTGGGCAGGTAACACAGCCCAGAAGTCCAGGGAGTTAACACCGCCAGGGGCAGCCTGCACCCAACTGGGGGTGGAATCAGTGGACAAACGCCCAGCTTCCCATCCTGCAGGTGCACAATGCCAGGAAGCGTCTGTGTGCCTTGAAGGGTCCTGGGGGGATGCAGGCCCTGCCTCTAAGTGAGGTCCAACATGGCAAACACTGATCCGGCTTCTCTTCCTTCTCTGTCTCACTCTGAATTTTATCTCAATAAAGCTGTTAAAAAGTCTTGTACGCAAGTGCTCACGGCCACATTATTCATATTGTTGTTGTTAGGTGCCGTCGAGTAGGTTCTGACTCACAGTGACCCCGTGTACAACAGAAGCAAACACTGCCCGGTCTGGCATCAGCCTCACAACAGTTGCCAAGCCTGAACCCACCGTCGCAGCCACTGTGTGCTGATCCATCTCTTAAGGGTCTTGCCCCTTTTTTTGCTGATCCTCTACTTTACCTAGCATATCCTTCTCCAGGGACTGGTCCCTTCTGACAATATGGCCCAAGTACAAGAGATGAAGTCTGGCCATTCTCGCTTTTAAGGAGAAGTCCAGCTATACTTCCTCTAAGACAGATTTGTTCACTTTACTAGCAGCCCATGGTGCATTCAATATTCCTCGTCAACAACACAATGCAAATGTGTCAAACCTTCTGTAGTCTTTCTTATTTACTGTCCAGCTTTGACACGCATGTGAGGCTACTGAAAACCTCACGGCTTGGGCCAGGCACACCTTAGTCTTCAAAGTGAAAACTTTGGTCCTCTGAAGCAGCTTCGCTCAGTGCAATATGTCATTTGATTTTGTGACTGTTGCTTCCACAGGTGTTGACTTGGATCCAAGTAAGATGAAATCCTTAACAACTTCAATCTTTTCTCCACTTATCATGATGTTGCTTATTGGTCCAGTTGTGAGGATTTTTATTTTCTTTATGTTGAGGTACAGTCTAAACTGAATGCTACAGTCTTTGAGCTTCATCAGTAAGTGCTTCGAGTCATCTTCCTGTTCGGCAATCAAGGTTGTGTCATCTGCATATCACCTGTTATTAATGAGTCTTCTTTCTATCCAGATGCCATGTTCTTCTTCATACAGTCCAGTTTCTTGGATTATTTGCTCAGCATAAAGATTAAGTATGGTGAAAAGATACAATCTTAACACACACCCTTCCTGATATTAAACCATGTAGTATTTCCTTGTTCTGTTTCAACCATAGCCTCTCAGTCTATATACAGACTCCTCATGAGCACAATTAAGTGTTCTGAAATTCCCATTCTTCTCAATGTTATCCATAATTCATTATGATCCACAGAGTCGAATGCTTTTGCATAGTCAATAAAACACAGGTAAATATCTTTCTGGTATTTTCTTTCAGCCAAGACCCATATGATACCAGTAATGATATCCCTTGTTTTACACCCTCCTCTGAATCAGGCTTGAATTCCAGGCAGTTCCTTGTCGATACAATTCTACAACCATTTTGTTTTGTTTTGGTTTTGCCATTTTAACTATTTTGTATTGTGATTTGTGTGAAAGTTTACAGAGCAAATTGGTTTTCCACTCAACAATCCACACACATTCTGTTTTGTGACATTTATTGCAATCCCCACATTATAACAGCATTCTTCCCACTTCCTCCTCGTGCGCCACCCTTTCCCTTCATCCTTCCTTCTCCTTCCTTCTTACCTTTCTAGCTCTATCCCTGGGTAAATGCAGTCCTCTTGACTTCATATGCCTGGTTGTTCTAATGAGTGCATACCCTCCTGATATCAGTGGTCATCTTACAGGCCTATCGCTTGGCTAACAGTTGAGTCACAAGGCCCAAGTTCAGTTCCTAGCTTGAAGGGTGTCCAAGGGCCATAGTCTCAGGGATCCCACCAGTACTCACCAGACCAGCAAGCCTGGATTTTTTTTTTTTTTTTAAGATTTTGAGTTTTGTGGTACAACCATTCTTGAATTATCTTCAGCAAAATTTTACTTGTATAATATTAATGATATTGTTCAATAACTTCTACATTCTGTGGGATCATGTTTCTTTGGAATGGGCACACATATTGATCTCTTCCAGTCAGTTAGCCAGGTAGCTGTCTTCCAAATTTCTTGGCATAAACAAGTGAGCACCTCCAGTGCTGCATCCATTTGTTGAAACATCTCAATGGATATCCCGTTAATTCCTGGAGCCTTGTTTTTCACCAATTCCCTCCGTACAGCTTAGACTTCTTCCTTCAATACCATCAGTTCTTGATCATATGCTACCTCCTGAAATGGTTGGACATCAACAATTCTTTTTGATACAGTGACTCTGTGGATTCCCCTTTCCATCTTCTTTTGATGCTTCCTTCATCATTCATTATTTTGCCTATAGAATCCTTCAATACTGCAACTTGAGGCTTGAATTTTTTCTTCAGTTCTGTCAGCTTGAGAAATGCCAAGCATGTTCTTCCCCTTTGATTTTCCCTAGGTGTTGACTTGGATCCAGGTAAGATGAAATCCTTAACAACTTTTTCATTATTATTTCATTATAATACTTTACTTTGTCTTCTTGAGATGTCCTTTGAAATCTTCTCTTCAGCTCTTTTTACTTCATCGTTTCTTCCATTTGCTTTAGTTACTCTCCATTCAAGGGCAAGTTTCAGAGTCTTTTCTGACATCCATTTTGGTCTTCTCTTCCTTTCCTCTCCTTTTAATGACCTTTTGCTCTCTTCATGTATGATGTCTTTGATGTCATCCCTCAGCTCATCTGGTCTTCAGTAACTGGTGTTCAATGTATCAAATCCATTCTTCAGATGATCTCTAAATTCATGTGGGATATACTCAAGGTCATATTTTGGCTCGTATGGACTTGTTTTAATCTTCTTCAGCTTTAACTTAAACTTGTATCTGAGCAACTGGTCTGTTCCACATCAGCCCCTAGCTGAGTTCTGACTGATGGATGATATCGAGCTTCTTCACCATTTCTTTCCACAGATGTAGTGGATCTCATTCCCATGTATTCCATCTGGTGAGGTCCACGTGTATAGTCGCTGTTCATATTGTTGAAAAAAAAAAAAAGGTACCGGCAATGAACAAGCTGTTGGTCTTGCAAAATTCTCTCATGCATCATTTCTATCACCAAGGCTGTTTTTTCCAACTACAGATGCTTCTTCATTTCCAACTTTTGCATTCCAATCACCAGTAATTATCAATACATCCTGACCGCATGTTTGGTCAGTTCCTGATTGCAGACGTTGGTAAAAATCTTCAGTTTCTTCCTCTTTGGCTTTAGTGGGTG